AAAGGTCTAAACCTTTAGTCCCGGTTGGTGCCACCAACCGGGACTAATGGGCATCGCACCCTTTAGTCCCGGTTCGTGGCACGAACCGGGACTAAAGGGCCCAGGTGAACCGGGACTAAAGGGCCCAGGTGAACCGGGACTAATGCCTTAGCCGCACGAATCGGGATAAATGCACCCATTGGTCCCGGTTCTGGACTGAACTGGGACTAATGGGCTTACCCGGCCTGGACCACAAGGCTGCTGACGCCCTGTCGCGACGAGACGCTGAGGTCACTGCCATTACAGTGGCTACTCCCATATGGCTAGAAGAAGTGGTGAAAGGCTATCAGAACGATGATAATGCCAGGGCGATTCTGCAACAATACAGCATGACAGAAGACCCCGATTCAAAATTTGCAGTCAAGGACGGAGTGATCCTGTACAAAGGGAGAGTTTGGGTTGGTCAGAATGTGGGTATGCAGCAGAAAATACTTCAGGCCATCCATGCTAGTGCTACTGGGGGACACACGGGGATGCAAGCCACGCATGAGCGCCTGCGATGCCTGTTTGCTTCGGCAGGGATGCGTCAAGACGTGAACCTGTTTGTCTCAAATTGCAGTATCTGCAAACAAGCCAAGGCGGAAAGTGTGCACATTCCAGGGCTGCTTGAACCTCTGCCCATTCCTCCTCATGCTTGGCACGCGGTCACTCTTGATTTCGTCGAAGGGCTACCCATCTCTAGAGGTTTTTCCTGCATTATGGTGGTGGTGGACAAGCTGACTCGGTACGCTCATTTCATTCCTTTGGCTCATCCGTTCTCAGCTCTCCAAGTGGCCACGACTTTCATGACTCACGTCTACAAACTCCATGGTCTGCCACATGCTATGGTCTCGGATCGAGATCGTATGTTCACAAGCAAGCTTTGGAAGGAGCTCTTTCGCCAGGCCGGAACAGAATTGCGCATGTCATCGGCATACCACCCGCAAACAGATGGAACCACGGAAAGAGTGAACCAATGCATGGAAACTTATCTCCGCTGTTTCGTACACTCCTGCCCACACCGATGGTTTCAGTGGTTGCACCTCGCGGAATTCTGGTACAATACAGCACCCCACTCCGCTTTGCAGGCGTCCCCGTTTGAGGTACTCTACGATCACCCCCCTCGTCACTTCGGTATCATTGATGCTTCAGTGTCTTCTCCTGTGGACCTAGCCAGCTGGCATCAAGAGAGGGAAGTGGTGACTGCGCTATTGCGGCAGCATTTGGAAAGATCCAGGCAAAGGATGAAGAATCAGGCAGACAGGAAACGATCAGAGTGTTCGTTCTCCGTGGGTGATTGGGTGTTTGTGAAACTACAACCCTACGTGCAGGTTTCCGTCGCTGCTCGTGCAAATCACAAGTTATCCTTCAAATTCTTTGGCCCTTTCCAAGTGACAGCACACATTGGAGAGGTGGCATATCGCTTGCAGATGCCGGAAGGAAGCCGAATCTACCCAGTGTTTCATGTGTCGTTACTGCGACAGGCATTGCCACCGGACACGGAAGTTGTTTCTGCACTGCCCGAGCCCCTGCCGCCTCATTCACCACCAGATTTCCCGGAGAAGGTGCTAGGAAGGCGCATGATCACAAGAGGCAAGGCCAAGATCCCGCAAGTCATGATCAACTGGTCATCCCAGCCGGACGCACTGGCTTCATGGGAAGATTTCTTCGAGCTCCGAAGTCGTTTTCCGGGAGCTGCGGCTTGGGGTCAAGCCGCGTCTGAAGCAAGGGGGGATGTCACGGATACCGCTACGCCCAAGCCCACCAACGACGCCGACCGGCCCTAGAGGAACAAGAAGCCCAACCGGCTTTTCGACCCGGCCACCTGGGAGCTGTGATAGGTGGTTAAGTAGGTCCTGGACCAGATGAGAGGGGCACGATTGAGTAATAGACTAAACCCACTTCTCCGAACCCCAGTTCTCTGTCTCGTGTATCTCCTCCTCCTTCCTCCGATCCCCTTCCTCCTCCTCAAACCCTAGCCTCAATTCCCATGTAATCTGGCACAATTTGTTCGATGGAGTAAGAGGGATGTAACAAAATGTTTATTCGTCTGTATCAAATGATCAGTATTTTTCTTTTTCTCTAGGCTTGCAAAAAGCTTGGAAAGATCGACTTGTCGGATTGCGAAATGTATGCATCCTGCGAACCTTGTCCAATGTGTTTTAGCGCCGTTCATCTATCCCGGATCAAGGTTTGCCCTTTAGAGCATCTCCAACAGCCGCGCTATGTGCCGCGCGCAAAAAACCTGTTTGCCGCGCGCGCTGCGGCTGGTTTGGCGCGCCCACCTGCGCTGGCTCCAGCAGCCGCGCTATAATGCAGCGCGCGCGCCGCTCCAGCAGAGTGCAAAAATACAGCGCGCGCGCGCCGCACAAACCACATATACATGTATTCATATGAGCAAAAATGATCAAACATATATGATATTTTGGACAAAAATGAACATGTGAAATTTGACACAAACAAGTTGATGAATAAAAGTTCATGCCCACAAGTTCATCCAACCAAGTTCAAAATCATGCCCACAAGTTCATCCAACCAAGTTCAAATGCAAACTAAAGTTCAAGACATGAAAGACACATCAATCTTCATCTTCCTCGTCTTCGTCCTCATCTTCCGAAGGCGACTCTTCCGCCTCCGAAGATGAATCTTCCTCCCTCTCCTCATCACGCACCGCATCAGGTGAAGCTCCGACGGTGTTGGCAAGATCTTCAACGGCATCTTCATGGGAATGTGTGTGAGAAGCCATGGCGGCCGGAGGTGCACCCATGCCTCCCATGAGAGAAGCAAAACTCATGCCTCCCATGACGGCCATAGCGTCGGAGGGTGCTCTAAAGCCACCCATGCCTCCCATGGCGGCCGGAGGTGCACCCATGCCTCCCATGGCGGCCGGAGCTCCGCCGCCTTGTTCTTCTTCGCGGATGTTTTGCCCTTCTTCGTCCGCGCCGCATTGGGTACTTTCTTCGACGGTGCGGCGGCGGCACGGGACGGCGCCGGCGCGACGCCACCCGACGCCGTGGTCATCCGCGGCGGCAAGAAGAGGCTGCGCGCGAGGCCGACGCTCGGCGGAGCTCCGGCGGTGGCGACGCTAGCGCTCGCCGTGCTAGGGTTTCCGGCGGCTGCGGCGGCGGCGGGGTCGCGGCTGTACAGCGGGCTGAGCGGGGCGCCGGTGTGCGCGTCCATGGGTGGGTGGCAGGGTGCCGGCGCCGGCGCGCGCGGGGCGTAAGACGAGGTGAGCAGAGAGTGCGGCGCGAGCGCTCGAGTGTGCCGCGCGCTGTAGCTGGCGCCCCAAATACACCACGCGGATAAGTGTTTTTGTCCGCGCGTCCAACCCGTTATAGCGCGCGCGCCGTTTTTGCGCGCCTGCTGGAGCGACCCGCCGCGTTGCGCGCGCGCTAAAACGGCAGAATTTGCGGCGCGGCGCTAGTTTAGCGCGGCTGTTGGAGATGCTCTTACTTCAACATTCTTCATGCTGTGGAATGTAGCTTAATTTGTTGAACTAATAATCATGCTGAATGCTGCAATGCAGAGGCTGGTGTATGGAGCCAAGAGATGCTCTTACTTCAACATTCTTCATGCTGTGGAATGTAGCTTAATTTGTTGAACTAATAATCATGCTGAATGCTGCAATGCAGAGGCTGGTGTATGGAGCCAAGGCAGAAGCTGCTGTTGCCATTGGATTTGATGCCTTCATTGCTGATGCTCTCAGAGGAACTGGGCACTACCGTACGGCCAACCTGGAGATAAAGCGAGCAGATGGGAATGGAGCGCTGCTTGCTGAACAGGTCTTTGAGAACACCAAGGGGAAATTTCCATTGAAATAATGTGTATATAAAGATATGATGTGATTTCTCATCACGGAAGCCCTTGATGCTCAGAAAAGATAATGTAATTGTCAAAATTATGTCGTCGGTGATGGACTACATACTATAAATTTAAATATGCCATTTGATTCTAAATTGATCTTACTTAATTCTGAGATACTAATTGTGGATAATAACATGAACATATGCAAAGAAAAACAGAACTACAACTATTATGTTTCGCATGAAAACTGTCATGCACACTTTCGACGCTAACATGAACATGTACAAAAAGAAATTCACAACATTTTATATTTACATTTCCTGGCTCCACAATCTGAATTTTCACTGTAATCCGCAGGTCATGTTCTCAAAAAACAAGAACAAAAAGATTGAGTGTGGGTTAGTGCCATGTCCCTGTCTAGATTGTCCCCATTAGAGAAGCAACAACAGAATACCTTCAGAGCTTTCCCTACACGAAAAGATATCAGGACAAGAAAAGTTTACGGAAGTGAAACGATTGTTTTGGTATACGGTGTGGCGCTTAGCCATTTCCTATTGAGCAATGTGTTGTTCAAGACAACAAGTTCCCCTGTTCGTTCGACATTATAGGTAGGTTCATATCAGTAGTCGGTAAAAAAATCCAACTAGAGAAAACAAATCCGACTTTCAAAACTGACCCTAAAACCGAATGGTAAACAAGACCACGTCAAAACTGGGAAACCGGTGTGGTTTAGCCTCTTTTTTGTTCCTTTAGGTTTCCCATATTTGTTCTCGTTTCCAGCTGACTTTTCAAATCAAACAAAAAATATGAACATATATTTTTAGAAAAAATATGAACACTTTTCTATGGCTACATAATTTATAAGGGTGCATTTTTTACGAAATATAAATGAAATATTTTTAAATATTATTTTAGGACGCCGATAACTACCAAACGTCGGGTAGGGGCAAAACGAATGTTTTTTTGACGGTTTATATTTGTTGAGGATAGCAAGTTTAGTGGGCAAGCGTCGCAAATCTGTCTTAATTTTTTCTTTTTTGCAATGAAATTTCCTTGCTTGCCCACTAAACTTGGTATGGGCACGGGCACGAGCATAAGCAGGGTTTCATATTTTTTCCGTGAGTGCGCATGGGCACGAGCATGTGAAGATGATGATGGTGATGGAAATGGAAAAGAAATCCCGTTGACGGAGACCATGCCCCGATCTCATCGGACACGTCGCCTCCGGCGTGCCCGTCGGTCGAATCGAATCGAAGCAGAATAATAAAAGAAATAAAGCGCCACCGCTTCGTACTACTACTACGACGTGATGCACGTTGGCCTTTCTGTTTTAGAATAGAACCGATGCACCTTTACTTTGACGTACGCGACCGACCCACCGCTAGTTTCCTCCCTCTTTCCCCCTTTGCTTCCGGCGGCGGTGCCCCCCGCGATCCGGCCGCCGGCGGCCCTTTTTGTACGGTATTCACCGATGATTTTGCTGGCTCGGAGATGGTCTAATCTTGTGAGGAAGGTAAGCGCTTGTTAGAGGTTGAACATAGTCTGCTTTGTAAATTTCTATCCCCCACCGAGCCTTCTTAGGGCATCTATCTCTGACGGACGGATGATCCCTAAAATCGGACACGTATCCGTCCGCTGACTTGTCCGGATAGATTCGCCCACAGTCATGTGAAATCCGATCATTCAACCGTGCCCGCATCCATTTGAAAACAAATTTAAACATTCTTTTATTGCTCGGACTAGTGTGAGCTATTGAAAAAAAAAAGTGTAGAGCTTGAAGGAAAAAGGATGAAACAATTGTGCTTTTCACCATTGCGACTTGAAAAACTTGGTGCCTTCCGCCATTGGCGAAATATGACCGGCCTTCCGTCATTGGGAACACTTGAAAATAGGAAAAAGAGTGTACACTTGAACAAGAAAAAAATGAAACAATACTGGTTTCCCCAAATGCTAGTAGCCCTCTACCAGACTGGAAAAAACTCAGCAGCGGCCTTCCGTCATCCAGACATAGAGGATACGTGGTGGATTTGTCATGTGGATGTCCGGATTCCCGCAAAGCCTCATGATTTGCTTCGGGTTTATGGGAAAATGGATAGCCGGACCCAGTCAACGGACTTATTCGATTCCACGTTGGATGGCAAAATGTGTCCGAACAGTTGCCGGTGGTTTAAGGGTCCGTCTTGAAAATGCCCTTACTGTAAGCCATGATGAAATGGATTAGTTATGCTTGATGGGCTGCATAACCGACATCCATGTGATGTTATTAAAGCCTTCATGAACGTGAAGCAGGATAGTGCTTGCTTTTTTGTTCCATGGACCAACTTGACTGTGCTAAAATAGCCAACCCTAAAACTTGAAATAGTCTTTAGTAGGAGAGAAAATTGCTTATTTACCATAGACAAGCTTGACAATTGCTCATTTTGCTATCGAACAAACCAATGTTGCTCTTGTACCGCTTAAAAGCTCATTTCGTTGTCAATTTGCCAGCGATGTTGCACTGTCGTTATGTCTCTACCGTTAGATTGAATAACCATTGTCAGTTTATGTAAAAAAAATACCAATACCACCCTTCCATACAATGATCTGGTAAAACACAATCTAGTTCAAAAAAATCTTCTATCACCCAACACACCTCACCACAGAATTCCCAACGCTAGCCAGGTCATGGCGGCGACATGGCAGAACCGCCACTGCCACTCCCGCATCTGCTCCCACCGGCTGGAGATCCTCCAACCATCGTCGTCTCTCCAGCCTTCACCGGACCTACAGTTGTCGACCCTGCGCCTCCTCCCCCACTGTCATCATCGCCTCTACACCTACTGCTCCCACCGCCTTTCCTAAAGCCGTCGGCCTTGTGCCCGCGTCCCCCACAGCCGTCGTCCCTAAAGTTGCTTCTCCCACGTCACCGGCCCTGCAGCCGTCGCCCAGGACGCCATCGTACCTGCTGGGAGGGACTTCATGGCGCCTCTCCCAAAATATTTAGGTTCAAGCCATGCAGAAGCCATGATTTTTGCTCTGTCCACTCAATACATTAGGATGTTGCTTCTACGACATGGCCTTGATCCTCACAATGAATTCCTGTAGTAAGTTAGTGTTGGGGAACGTAGTAATTTAAAAAAAATTCCTACGCACACGCAAGATCATGGTGATGCATAGCAACGAGAGGGGAGAGTGTTGTCTACGTACCCTCGTAGACCGAAGCAGAAGCGTTGACGCAACGTAGAGGAAGTAGTCGTACGTCTTCCCGGTCCAACCGATCCAAGCACCGTTACTCCGGCACCTCCGAGTTCTTGACACACGTACAGCTCGATGACGCACCCCGAGCTCCGATCCAGCAAAGCTTTCGGGGAGGAGTTTCGTCAGCACGACGGCGTGGTGACGATCTTGATGTTTAACCGTCGCAGGGCTTCGCCTAAGCACCGCTACAATATGATCGAGGTGTAATATCGTGGAGGGGGGCACCGCACACGGCTAAGGAACGATCACGAAGATCAACTTGTGTGTCCTAGGGTGCCCCCTTGCCCCCGTATATAAAGGAGCCAAGCGGGGTGCGGTCGGCCCTAGTAGGAGGTGCGCAGGAGGAGTCCTACTCCTACCGGGAGTAGGACTCCCCTCCCTTTCCTTGTCCAAGTAGGAGAGGGGGAAGGAAGGGAGAGAGGAGAGGAAGGAAGGGGGGGGGGGGCGCCGCCCCTTCCTCCTTGTCCAATTCGGACTAGGGGGAGAGGGGGCGTGCGGCCTGCCCTGGCTGCCTTTCCTCTTCTCCACTTTAGGCCCATGAGGCCCATTAACCCCCCGGGGGTTCCGGTAACCCCCCGGTTCTCCGGTTTTATCCAAAACTTCCCCAGAACACTTCCAGTGTCCGAATATAGCCGTCCAATATATCAATCTTTATGTCTCGACCATTTCGAGACTCCTCGTCATGTCCGTGATCACATCCGGGACTCCGAACAACCTTCGGTACATCAAAATACATAAACTCATAATGAAACTGTCATCGTAACTTTAAGCGTGCGGACCCTACGGTTCGAGAACAATGTAGACATGACCGAGACACGTCTCCGGTCAATAACCAACAGCGGGACCTGGATACCCATATTGGCTCCTACATATTCTACGAAGATCTTTATCGGTCAGACCGCATAACAACATACGTTGTTCTCTTTGTCATCGGTATGTTACTTGCCCGAGATTCGATCGTCGGTATCCAATACCTAGTTCAATCTCGTTACCGGCAAGTCTCTTTACTCATTCCGTAATACATCATCCCGCAACTAACTCATTAGTAGCAATGCTTGCAAGGCTTAAGTGATGTGCATTACCGAGAGGGCCCAGAGATACCTCTCCGACGATCGGAGTGACAAATCCTAATCTCGAAATACATCAACCCAACATGTACCTTTGGAGACACCTGTAGAGCACCTTTATAATCACCCAGTTATGTTGTGACGTTTGGTAGCACACAAAGTGTTCCTCCGGCACACGGGAGTTACATAATCTCATAGTCATAGGAACATGTATAAGTCATGAAGAAAGCAATAGCAACATACTAAACGATCGGGTGCTAAGCTAGTGGAATGGGTCATGTCAATCAGATCATTTAACTAATGATGTGATCCCGTTAATCAAATGACAACTCTTTGTCCATGGTTAGGAAACATAACCATCTTTGATTAACGAGCTAGTCAAGTAGAGGCATACTAGTGACACTTTGTTTGTCTATGTATTCACACATGTATTATGTTTCCGGTTAATACAATCTAGCATGAATAATAAACATTTATCATGATATAAGGAAATAAATAATATCTTTATTATTGCCTCTAGGGAATATTTCCTTCAGTCTCCCACTTGCACTAGAGCCAATAATCTATATTACACAATAATGATTCTAACACCCATGGAGCCTTGGTGCTGATCATGTTTTTCTCGTGGAAGAGGCTTAGTCAACGGGTGCCACATTCAGATCCGTATGTATCTTGCAAATCTCTATGTCTCCCACCTGGACTAGATCCCGGAT